GTATGTATGTATGTAATGCAATGCAATGTAATGTAATGTAATGCAATGTAATGTAATGTAATGTAATGTAATGTAATGTAATGTAATGTAATGTAATGTAATGTAATGTAATGTAATGTATGTATGTGTGTATGCATGTGTGTGTATGTATGTATGTATGTATGTATGTATGTATGTATGTATGTATGTATGTATGTATATATCTATGTGTCTATGTATCTATGTATCTATGTACCTATGTATCTATGTATCTATGTATCTATGTCTGTGTCTATGTCTATGTCTATGTGTGTATTTGTATATGTATATGTATGCGTGTATGTATGTGTATATATATATATATATGCCCATGCCTGCATATGTGGCATTTTATTCTTCTCGGGCTACTTCGACCGGCAGGCCACTTCGCATCCACCGCAATGCAGGAGGAGCCATAGTTACCACCCATACCATCGCAGGCAGAAGTTCTGGCATCTGCATCTAGGTCGTTAGCATGCATTAAGTTGTTAGGCTTTTCAGCCTTGTTGCGACAGTTTCTTGCATGCCGTGTTGAAGGAAGGTCATCTCAAGACGCCCCTGGGAACGCAACACGGTGTAATCAACGCCCGAAAGTGGAAACCCCACCATTGCAGCAGCGCACCCCGAATGTCCTACCGGCAAGTCCCAGCACATTCCAAAGGGTTCCAAAGGGTAGGATCTTGCTTGTAAAATTCAGGGCTCATCGATGTCCGGCATGCTTCACCACAAGGAATTCGACCTCGGTCGCCACTGCAGGTTCTTACTTCCGTCAAACGCTAGGAGTGCTGCAACGAGTATCTTGAATGCTGCATAAATCCCTCGCACACAGGGGTCGGCTGTATCAAAGGGTTCGGTCAGTGGTCGTTGTCGCTTTCCGGATCACAAGATATCTGCCAATCCCTAACCCTAAACCCCTAATCCCGGATCCCTAAACCCCTAAACCCCTTGCCGGCCTTGTGCGAGTGTGAGAGTCGAAACCCTAATCCCTACAGCCCTAAACCCGGAGTTCTGGAGCCCGACAGCTTCAAGGGCCACTCTTCCCAAAAATCCTAAACGATGATGTTTGAACCTGATTAAGAAACCCTGCGTCTTTAGTAGGGGTCTTAATATGAAGCCTCATATATTTGGGGTTACAGGGCCAGGGTTTCTTAATCAGGTTCCTACATTAAGCCGTAAGCCCTATCCCACAGCCTTCGGTCCTGAACTTCACTTGCGCAACTTTCCTGCCACACCCGAAGCCCTAAAGGCCTAAATCCCCGAAAGGAGCCAGCCAAGCCGTGCATGCGTTACTTCTTGACTGCGACGGCGTGATCGCAGATTCTGACCCTTGACCTGCTTTGGGTTTAGGCATTTCGGCTGTAGGATGATGGCATGCGCAAAGCTCTCGGCTGCAGGGCCAGTTTAGGAATTTAAGTGTCTTTTTCTTCGTGTATCGCGTATGGCATAGACGAAAACATGTCGTGTGGCCATGCTTGGCATAACGTGGTTCGAACTGAGGGTGTCGATCATCGGGGTAAGTTGCGACTGCCACTTGCTAGAGTAGTAGTAGTAGTCACGTTCTGTTTTGGGAGCGTGAAGCTTGGATAATAGGTGGCTGAGTCCAGACCTCACTGTGTTGAACGCGACATGTTTCAGGGCCGACCGCAAGAGTCAATTCGGCGGAAGATTCCTTCCAGCGGGACAGTTTTCCCAAACAGCAAGACAAGCCCAAACCCTAAACCCTAAACCCTAAACCCTAAACCCCAAACCCTAAACCCTAAACCCTAAACCCCTAAACCCCTAAACCCTAAACCCCTAAACCCCTAAACCCTAAAAGCTCTCATTCCTGCACATCCATCCCATGGCCCTGAGCCATTTCCGAATCCCAGCCCTTGAAAGAACCCCTATAGGAGGAACCCCAATTCTGAGCATCCTAGAGGCCCCAAAACCCTAAAGCAATAAGCGGTCAGCCCTAAGCCATAAACCCTAATATATAAACCCTAAGCCGCAAAAACTCTATAAACCTTAAAAACCCTCTGCACCCCCTAGGCCCTATAAACCCTGAGGAAAAATAAGCCTTATAAGCCCTATGAACCCAAGCCCTACAAGCCGTATAAGCCCTCTGAGCCATAAACTCTATAAACCTTATGAGCCCTATGAACCCAAGCCCTATAAACCTTATAAACCCCCAAAGCCCTGAACCCTGTAAACCCTGTACAACCAGGAGAGCCTCCACAGGGAGGCCTACAACGAGGTCTTCGAAGAGTTCGGCCTCAAAGTCCGATGGTCAGAGGAGCACCTGGGCAATCATACCATGGGAGCGGGTCAAAACCTACTGGTGTGTAAAAGGGCCGGGGCGCCCCTTGCGCGACAAAGTTTGCAACAAAAATGGTTTTTTTTGCGACAAGCTGGCGCGACAAGGTCCATCATGTGGCATTGCCGCGCGACAAAGGTTTGAAACAAAGCCGGCGCGACAAGGGTTTGTAACAGAGGGGGGGGTGGGACCCCGCGACAACACGGGGTATTGCATGTTTGCATGCTTAGTATTACTATTGTTGGTACTACTATTGCTATTATTGGTAAAATGCATGCTATTGTTATTATGTTCATCAGATGTCCTACCAAAAGTTTCGTTTCTTTTCGTCCCGAAAACCAGCATAGCATAAGATGCCTAGAAACAAACACATTTCCAAATAACAAGCACCTTACAGTATGGCTTGCCCGCGGTCTTTACAGAGACCCCCCAGATAAATCATGTGTCAGGACTTTAAGGTCATTCCTGCGTGCACGTGCCAGAGCAGCTAGATGGAAGCTTGAAGAATTAGCGATAGTAGTATGGGGGCCTTAGTAATTTTAATACGCTTTTGGGGCATATTATGCTATAACTATAGTCCGGAGCCCCCAAAAAATAGTACAGGTAATTATTTAGGCCCCTAGATTATGCACTTGGGGTCCCTCTGCATTTCTACTGTAAGATATCCCGAAACCTCATTCGATTCTAATTATTCAGGCGCCTATCCTTTTCAAGTTGAGGTGGCTTTTGGAAGCTCGTTGTTGTCCCCGATTGTTGGCGTTCGGTTCCTGTTGGTGTTGCCGGGGATGCGTCGGTTTTTTGTCATGGAAACTCTTCCTTCCCGCAAAATGCAGGTTGCATATCGTTTCGGGGAAAAAGGTTCGAAATTACAGAAGTGGCCCATGCAATTGACAAAGTGTTCTGCATTGGCTTTATAGGGATGATTTGAGGTAAGGTTTTGGAGCTTCGGTTATGGGCTCAGCCTGCTAGCGTGGGAGGCACAACAACCACTTCTGCAGTTGCAGCTTTAATTCGGCAGCATTCTGGGCTTGGCTGCTTCAGATCTCCATGTCTTCCATACGTGTGACAGAGACAGAGATCAGGAAGTCAAGGTGATGGTGATGTGACGCAGGTCGCAAGGCTAGTCATGCCATCAGTACTGACTAGATGAATTGAGCCATCACGACGCCAGTAGCTTCAACAATAGCTGTAAGGACAGCGAGAACTCAACAAGCCTGCCTGGTCTTAATGCAAGCCACGGTTGTGGTGGTGAAAGTCCAATGGGTTACGTCAACGACGCGAAGATTGCAGTAGGAGCAGGAAACACAAGTGGCGAATGCTGGCGGTCAATACTGGTGGTCGTAGAAGAAGTAGTTGTAGCAGCAGTGAGCGGAGACGACCATGTAGTCATGGGCCGTAAAGGCAGACCTGAGCTGCTGAGGTACTATGCCGGAGCCTTACGCAGCTGGGGAGTGTCGGGCACGTGTGGAGATATTTGCAAGCAGTGGTGTCTCAAGTCGGGACCTCCCGATAGCAGGGTCCAGCATTTGCCCGCAACGAGTTCACCAAACGACACGCCGGAAAACGGCACCACTCCGCTACGTGCCCTTGCTCGAAGCAATCTTACTCAGATCGCCACAAAGATGGCTTGGTTTTGTGAGGCAGGAACGCCAAGACTTCTGGCCGGGCTTCCAAAGTCATAGGATCATCTGGATAGTGCTAGTGTCATCAGCATGCATATGATCGAATCCCGGCTACAAGCGAATTGTGCCCGAGTGGCTTAGCAGCGTCGTGCTTTCAACTTTCACCGACCCAACTAGATGAGCCCAGAAGCAGACCGAAGACCGGCGCGTCTGACAGTGAAGTCCCTTTTTTTGCTATCTATGAGTGCATGTGACGCACAACCGTGCAACTGGGCCATGCGCCTGCCAAGCAAGTGGGAGATGTAGCCTAAGTAAGGGCATATATATATATATATATATATATACGTATATATACATATATATATATTATATTATA